TTTGTTAAATCACTCAAAAACTGGTGTTTGTTTTTTGAGAACCGCTGATACCATGTTTTTATTGCTGTCAATCCAGTTGACTTGGTTACCTAGCAACGGACATGTCATTTAATTTTAATAATCAATGTCATTTAACGTCAAAATTAGAATTTTTACTAATCAAAAAATACAATGGTAATGTACAGTAACGAAGAATACGTAGATATGCTTATTATTTATGGAGCTGCTGGAGAAAACGCTGCACACGCAAGACGTCTGTATTTAGAACGATATCCAAATCGACAGATCCCTTCTGAAAACACTTTTCTTCGGTTAATCCAGCGGGGAAGAGAGACAGGAAATTTGCAACCTAAGAAAGGTCTTGGTGGCGGTAGACTAAACAGACATGGAGTGAATGTGGAAGAAGAAATTCTAGAAATTGTGGAAGCGGATCGAAGCACGAGTACTCGTCAAATTTCTCACCAACTCGAGGTATCCCAGAATTTTGTTTGGCGTACGTTGAAAAGTAACGGTTTACACCCNTACCAGAAATGGTGTTCTAAATGTTCACAATTCCCATGTGTGGTCGGACGAAAATCCACACGTTATTCGTCAAGGCTCTTTTCAACAACGATTCAGAGTGAATCTATGGGCGGGAATTGTGAACAATACGTTAATAGGACCTTTCGAATTACCAGGAACTCTTAATGGAACTTCTTATTTACAGTTTTTACAAGAAAATCTGCCAGTACTCCTGGAAGATATTCCGCTACTTATGCGACGTGAGATGTGGTTTATGCACGACGGTTGTCCTGCACATTTTAGTCGTAATGTACGAGATTTCCTCGATAATGCTTTTCGGCAAAAATGGATTGGTCGAGGTGGACCTATTCCATGGCCACCACGTAGTCCCGATCTTAACCCATTGGACTTTTTTTTATGGGGATTCATGAAGGATAGAGTATATGCCACCGAGGTTAATACAATCGACGAACTACGACATCGCATCACTGCCGCTACAGAGGACATACGTCCACGATTTCCACGATTATCGTTAAATTGGATTCGTCGTGCGCAGTTGTGCGTCGAAATGCAAGGACAGCACTTTGAACATATGTTATAAAGAGATTATTATTATTATTATGTTATTTTCTTGTTTTAGAGATTTTGTAATTTTGCATTTAAGACATTATTATTATCCGTTTCATAAATTAACATCTATTATTTCTTTTCATAAATTACGTATTAAAACTAAACAATTAAATTGCCTACTTTGACAGCTCCTTCAAAAATGAGGATGGCGTTGACAAGTATTTTAATTGTTCTTTAGTGAATATCAGCGGTTCTCAAAACTTGACGCTAACTTATTTAAAAAATTAACATGCGATATCTATGTAGCTATTAAGATTTTAATAAAACATTATTAAGAAAATCTCTTCAGTTTGACCTCAAGTACCTACCCATTTAGTCTCCTCCGTATGTTATAAATCACCCTGTATACACGAGAGGTTGTTGGAAATTAAAAAGAAAGAGGCCTCACTAGATAAGATTGAAGACGTACATATGTATAACACTAGACACTACCAGTTAGTGCGTATTCCAAAAAGTAGACTTTAAGTCACTAATACTAGGTTTGCAGCTCTACAATAAGTTCCTAGTACCAATACGAAGCTAGCCATATTCATTATTTTACAAAAGAAACAAAAATCTTAAGAAGTACGCCTTCTACAGTATCCCAGAATATTTGAAGTCGTCAATTCTGGATGAATAAAAAACTTGAATGTACCTACCTATTATTACTATGTTACTTTTCTTTGACATATTTAAGAAATTAATTAGAATTAATAAAGAACGCAACAGTGTGGGTAGTTGTTCAAATTTTTGGCTATACTCTGACACTCCCGTCCCTGTATTAGTTCGTTATATCGAGGTTTTACAGTATTATTTTATTAATTATATAAATTATTTTTGTTTAAATAGGAATTAAAAGAAATCAATGCAACTGTAAACTCAGCAAAAAGACAATTACCCGAAGAGTTTGATTTAAATCGTCGAAACAATCAAAAACAATCAAAAATAGCAGCATTATGTGAAGAACGAAAAGTACAACGGAAAGAAATAAAGACAACCGAACCTAAAACGCCGCCCGAGCCTGAAGTTAATTTTACTTTGTAGAAATAGGAATAGAAATAGTTTTTTTAAAACAAGACACATACTTGTATATTAATTGTGTTAATTATTTAAATATTGTATTTTATAAAAAAAACCTAGAGTGTGGAAAACCTTTTCTTCTGTTTAGCCGACCTCTACTGATAATTTAGGTTAGTTAAGATTAGAAATCGTGATTTATTTCTCTTTATTAATCTACATTCTACCGTCATTAATCGAGAACTATAAATGTGTATTGCGTCAACGCGTGCAATAATTTATGTATGAGAACAGTCTCATAATAATCCTACATAATCTCAATATGATTTTTTGAGAGTATTTCAGACAAGTTTTGACGCATATATTTTTCTTATTTGGTGATCTAGTTTTTATATGGTTTCGTTTATATAGCTTTTTAATGTACAAATATATAGGAGTTTTCAAAATAATTGATGGTTTTTGTACAATTAATTAAATTTACAAATTTTGAAAAAGTTATTGATCAAAATTTGTGAATTTTATGCAACCCAAAAATAATGATTGTTTTAGCACAGAATTACGAGGCGACTTAAGAATCACAAAGAAGAGTTAGCGAGAAATATGAGGATGGACAAAAAATAATTAAAGAAGCTGGACAGTTAATGCATTTGACGGTAAATCCAATTTAACCAATCTCTAAAAATCAGCGAAAATCTTAAATCTGGATTTATTGGTTATCTCATTTCGGTTCCCCAATCTAGTTCTCCTTCCATTCTATCTTTGGGCGCTTGTTTAATTTATAGTAAAGCGTTGTAGTTGGTGAGGTTGCCGTTCGAGATTATTTTGCTAGAATTACTTTTGATATAATTATGCATCACGGTGTTGAATTTGACCCTCTAATGTACACTGTGTTTCGTTTTATGCAGTTCAATAATCGGATGTCATCTATAAATATGAAATATAATGCACTTATCTGCTCAACACTAATACACTGATCTATTTTTAATAAGAAAAACACCTGAGTGTTTAGTTTTTAAGCATCTTTGAAATTATTATTCCATATTATCCCAAATGTAGATTGGTGAAAGAACATTGGAGATTGTATAAAGTAGATTGCAGACTAGATTGGAAAATGAAGATTGCTAAATATACATTGGATAATACAGACAGATGTATGTAGATTGGAAAAAGTAGATTAGTGAGTAGAGTGTTGATTATAGTATATAGATTGGATAATGCAGACTGCTGAATGTAAATTGGGGAGTGTATTTTGGAGAATGATTGCAGAATGTAGATTGTTGAATGTAATTTCGATAATGCAAATTGGCCGATATGGATTGGAGAATGTAGGTTGTTGAATTTAGACTTAAGAATGTAAATTGGAGAATATAGATTAGACTTCGGCCGATTTTTTTGTCGGTAAAATTTTCCACTCGACTTTTCGACTGATTTAATGTTTTTAAACTTGCACAATCGTGTCAAAATATATTAGTCCATATGTCTAATCGTGTGCATATCTGGCTACATTCAATTGATTTTAAATGCGTATAAATACGTTCAGTCGTGTCCAAATGTGTCTAAACATGTCTAGATATGTCTAAACATGCCTTATACCTGTCCAGATGTTTCTAAACAACCTAACTCGTACCTTACTTTATCCTACCCTTTCCTATCTTACGATTTTACCATTTTTGCTATGTTGGTCCGTGAAGTTATTTACACTTCTATCTAGGAAATAGACCAGAATTAAAATTATTATTGCTGTAAATTGTGTTACCAGATATCTCTTGGGGAAGCATAGCATATTTAAACATTTTTTATCTTGTTGTCTCATTAATTGCAGGAGAGCGAATGGCCCGTGGTAAGCTCTCGGGCTACTTGAATACACGCCGAGTCGCCTCCCCGTCCTTCGGAGGGGACGTTAAGCCGTCGGTCCCGGCAACCAGTCTATCATCTCTGGTTGTCGTCAGATACATGTGTAGTTGGAGGTTGTGAACGTAAAAACGGGTTGAAAGCGCGTCTGCGCTCTTTGAGCGATACTCAGCCATGCACCCAAGTTTCTGGGCGTTGGAGTTACCAGCCCGGCTTGGGGGTCGTCTTTAAGTTGCTGGGCGTTGGAGTACCAGCCCGGCTTAAGGCGAGGCGAGAAGCGGTATCCGCCTGATTGGATGCCATTTTCGAACATCTTACCCATGCATGGACTCTAACCCAATACTATCCAGCCGCTCAAGATCGTCAGGCCGGATGACTGTTAGCAGATTTTCCCCGATCTCATAATAAAAAGCATAAATAAAATAAACCAAACCAACAAATCATAGAAAATCCTCAGCATTCACAATTTCTGTCACTGTTCTTCATATAATCTTTGCATGAGTCCACTGAAAGACCTGTTTCATAATCTCATCTCTAGAAGAGCAAATTGTGTGGTAATTTTGTTTAACGTATCTTATTGGTGCTGCTACTTCATGCATCACGTTTCGCTATGATTTACGTCCATGTATGACTAATACCACTTTTCAAGTTGACTTTTTGAAAAGAAGATGAAAGGTAAAAAGGTTCTTGTATTAAGCGAATTTTCGAGGTTTGCTACTGTTTATGTTATTTCCTTTATAAGAAAGTTATGATTGGGATTTGTTGCAAAAATTATGGTTAAACTCTGGTTATATTCAATAATAATGGCTTTTTAGCCATTAACGGGTGCTACCAATTCAGTATTTACGGATCTAAAAAATCTAAAATTCCTTATAAAAAAAAGTAGTGTTATCAACCCAGAAACTTATCTACAAACTCATTATATCAATATTTGTTTATAAATAACTGTTATTTTGTTAATCATATCTTTTGGATTGAACTTGCCATAAAGTAATAAACAATGGAAATTGTAAAACAAGATATTACAGAGTAATAAAGAAATATATTTTTTAACTTCGATAAAATTGGGTTATAAAAGTATTTATGTATCAAGCAAGTAAAGCATTTAAGGTTTAGTTGCAACTACTGTTAGTACATCAAATGAACAACTATAGGTGCCATCTTCATTTTTCAATTGCTTGATTAATTTGTCAATACAATCTTCAATGTACTCATCACGTAATTCCATAGGAATGTGGTTCAAAAAGTGGTTTCCGCCCACTAAAGTATCTGAAAATTTCAAAAATAATACCATTTCAATAGAAATTTAAAAAAATACTTCGCAATAAATGGACTTCTGGAAAAGAGAAGGTAACGGATTGCACATCCATCACGTCTATAATAAATCCAGCTTCTTTTAAAATATCTGAAATTGTTTCTTTGGGGTTTGGACCAAAATCAATAAATAAATCTGGAAGATTTTTTATGTACTTTGACCACGGCTTTGTTTCATCATTTCTTTGATCCGCCATGCAAATGTTTACTATATTACGTGGATCTACAATTATTGATGTAAATAATTGACCTTTCGATTTTAGCATCTTATAGATATTTACAGACCATCTAAAATGATCACAAATAAAATAAACAACAAAAATTAATGTAATATAATACTCACAAATCTGATCTCGGTAAAAGATGAAATAGATAAAACGCAAAAATGTGATGAAACTTCTCAAGATCCTTTTCACATTGCTCACTATCGATTATATCCATTACTTGAAACGATAATGTAGACGTTTTATAAGTTACATTTGCTACATCTATAGCATGTTGAGAAATATCAGCTCCAATTAGATGTTTTAAATGAGGCTTTACGAATGGATAGAGCGATTCTTGGGTAACACATCCATTTGAGCAACCAATATCTAACATTATTTCATTATCAAACCATTTGAAGCGATCTTTATAGTTTACTAAAAACGAATTTGCTTGAATGACCGTGTTGTAATTATTTTCAGAGAAAGTGACTGGATTGAACATTGCTGCAAGTAAAAATTACAACAATCACGAAAATGGGGATGTTTTAAAGGCTTCCTATCAATTAAGAAGGAAACGCTTATTATGATTATCAAAGATAAGATATTATTTATTGATAAATACTTCTATTTACTCCTCTGTGTTTAAATATAACATTTTGTTGCTAGGACAGTTAAAAAATTTATTTCGTAAGAATAATTTCCATTTTTTATGGTTACATGTTTAAACATCTTGCTGATATAAACCTTAATATAATATTCTCGCATTTCTTTTGGAATATACTCCAAAAAATTGTTCATACTAACCCAAATCAAACTAAATTCTAAAATTCATTTTGTGGATCCTTGTTATCAATATGTATAAATATGAAAAAGTCATGTATGTTTTAACGCCTGACGCGTTTCGGCGATCTACGCCATCTTCGGAGGCTCTACAAAATTAAACATAAAGGTACAGAAATCATTTTGTGCTGTTACAATTGTAAATATTACTAATGTGAGTAGAATTTTTGAAATTAACATTAAGATCAACAAACTGAATATAAATTAAATGAAACAAAGTGTAACAAACTTGAATATTATTAAAAAACATGTGTCTAACTTAAGTAAGTTAGACACATGTTTTAAATTATTTATCAATAAAAGCATAAAAACATACATGACTTTTTCATATAAATTCTAAAAGTTGATTTATGCATTTATCGGAAGTTCAGTAGAACCTCGTTAGAACGGATTCTAAGGCACATTACTTAAAACATTTAAAATTTCACAAAGAATGATAAGGACTATGTAACATTGTTTTTGATCTAGTCATAATCATCAGATATCAAATAGAACTCGATAGAGATTGTTTATATTGTTAGAATTTTTATATAAAAAGTTAAAATTGTCAGAAATAGTACCTAAAAACTTAGAAATTGATAAAATCTGTGTAACATCGTCTTTCGTCCACTAAATATCGCCACATATCTGACAGAAAGCCTTAGATTGGTTAAATAATCAGAAATCTGATATAAATCGTGAGAAATCGTCAAAATTCTAAGGCTGTCAAATTCTAACATAATGATGAATGTTATGAGACCATTAACGGTCATAATCATCAGATATTAAACAGAAATAGTGAAAAATATTATTGAAAAGTCTTAGAAATCAACAGTGATTAATGAAAACGGTGCAATATCTGTCTTTGATTCATTAAAAGACGTCAGATATCTGATAGAAACCCTTCAAGATTGTCTAAATTATCAGATACGGATAAATAAATAAAAAATAAATAATAATTTATTGAGCCAAATTAGAAAAAACAAAATACAATAATAAGGAAAAGTACAATAATATTAAACTTAAATTATAGCTCAAAGGGTGCAAGGGCAGAAAAGGCAAAACAATGCCACTGATTTTACTTGCACCTAATGAGAACAGCAGCAGAAAATAAAATAAAAGTTAAATCAAATCAAAACTGAGCAGTATCAATGAAAATGAGATAATAAAAATAAAAACAAGTAGTTAGGATTATTAGATTACCAAAAGAATCAAAAGCAACATTATATCAATTGTCACAAAAACCGATCAAACACTCTCTCGCGCAAAACAACAGATCTAACAACTGAACCGAGCGGGCACACCTCGCAGAACTTGATAGGAAAACGAGCACTGAAATTTTGACGATCTATGCAGCGGAACTGTAATACAAAATCCATGCCTAAGATTCAAATTGTGTACATCAGTTCTGAAGGTAATTTTGCGAGAAAGATAAGCCGTCTGAAAAATTACAGTCTTCCAATATATTCAAATCCTGTTTAAATATATTAGCTTTTCTAATAATCATTGGTCCCGTTACTGACTTCTCTTCGGCACGTTTTGCACTGAATCATTTATACAAGACGCTGTCCAGTTGTTTAGCTTAGGTTTTCTGAGAATTTACCTAGAAACAAGTTTTTCAGATACAGATTGGGAAACAAAATGCATGAGTTCATCTTTTTGTTTTCTAATGTCATAAATAGTTGATGACTCAAACGTTTGATGATTTCAAGTTTCTGATTGTGTCCAGAGTGTCCATGTTTATTTTTTTCTGACCAGATAAACGAAAACTCACAAAACAGTGCAATGTACCTACACGCAACACTTTAACTTTTTTACTTCAATTTATTCAATACGGCACACAATTAATTAAACAGAGAAATGCTTTAAGAAATGTCAAACTCTT